ATTATGTATATTTTAAAATTATTAATTGATATTTATTTATTACACATACATATTATTATATTTTACATTTATTTTTAATATTATTATATTTTACATACATAGGTATTACATATTAAAGAAATCTGTTATTTTTTTTTGTGAAAAATTGTTGGTCGCAATCTGGTCCATAGCGTTGTCTAACTCACTGATAGGCGATAGCAATCGTGTTTAAAGAAATTCGAATTATAGAGATTCGTGAAAAAAAGTTCGAATAGATTAGATATATTATAATTAGGGCCCGGATTTAAATTTACTCGAAACCATACAATATGCTCTAAAAATTAGCCAAAAATGTTCTCAAAAAATGACCTTAAAAATGTAATTTATATTTATTTTTTATACAATTTGTTATTTTAATTTAGAATTTATTATTAAAATATATTTATTACTTTATTGAAAAAAAAAAATTGGAAAAATTGACTTGATGCTGCTATGAAAAAATATACCAGTGGAGTTTACATTTTTTTTTCAGGTAAAATAAACGTACCGGTGGAATTTACATGAAAAAAGGTCTAAAAAGGTCGCAATCGGTGGAGTTTACATGCGCCCAGTAGGGTAATACCTATATCGGCACCACTAATTATTATCAATTCTTTAGAGAATAACTCAGTAGGTACTAGGTATGAAAAGTATTATAATTATAGAATTTGGTATACTTAGCCAAAATAAAACCATTTATTTATCAAGATCTATAGTTTCAAAATCATAATCTTAGTTTAAAAAAAATAACAGGTGGGAATAGACACGTACGATGTACTCATCAAGTGAGTGATCTTGGGATCCTCGCTATAACCTCCAAGGATGGGGAAAATCTTATAACAATCGGGAAATACTCACGCTGGTTTGAATATGTTTTTGTTGTTCAAAATTGATACTTCGACAATGTTTTCATTGAGATTTTCGTTGAGTTCTTCAATTTTTAACGCGTTTTTCTTACAACGCAAATCCACAGCCAAGTTGTAAACGAATGCTCTCAGTTTCCTTATCTGAAGCACGACTTTATCTTGCAAATCTTCAAGCTGATCGTTGATACCCAAKATTAATTCACGTTCCCGCAATAGTTCTCTCTCGACATCGTCAAACACCAAGTCTATACTTTGACGACAGTTTCTACACGTAGGGATTATTATATGAAGCGGATCGATTTTCTATGTTAATTTTTGAATTTTTGAAAATTTTTTTTTATATTTTTAAATATTTATTGATAGTTTTTATAACACTATACATTATTAAAAAAATTAAATATTTTCTATATACTTTAGAAAGTCATCTCCGTTTAGTTGTTTTTCGTATAGATGATGAATGATACCTGTCATTGCATTCAAATTTAACACATCTATTATAGTGACCTACTCGCCGATCGCCATCTCTACAACATAGCAGAGCAAGACTCACTTGCCCACAAAGTTTTTTTTCTTTAAAATTACCAAAAGTTTAAATGAGTATGAGTAGAGTAAAAATGGTGAGGATCAAAGGATCTACCAGAATTCAGAATTGTATATCTATTAAATAATTTTAGAAAATCACTATGTATGATACAAAGTAGTAAAATTTATATTTTTTTAAACTAGTGTTAAGTAGTACCTACCATTCAATAACTGGGTTGGTACATAAAACATTTTTCTTTTTTTTCAAAAATTCAAAAATTATAAAATAATGTAGCTACTTAAATGTCTATTTAAATTGCACAGTCATTGCATGTTACATAAAATTATATAATTTTAACTAGCATTTTTTTCATGTAATTCTCACCTGAGTCTAAGGCACTCAGCAATGACGTCAAGAGYGTCACCTACAAGAAATTTATTGGAATTTTCGATGCGCACCTGGTAACCCAATAGTAAACGGATCTCTTCATCCAGATTATATTTCTGTTTTTCGATTTCCTTACATTTGTACTCTAAGTCTTTGACTTTGACTTTAGACCGGTGATCAATGTCCAATTTGTTTTTCATTACGGAGTCCTTAACCTGGCCAAATAATCGATTGGCTTCCAGTGTCAACCTTTGGGCCAACTCTCGTTGTTCCTCAGCTGCTGTGATTTCTTGTTCACTGTTATATTGCCACTCTGTAGGCGTATGATAATCATAACCGTACATATTGCAATAATTATTACAGTTCATATTGATAAGTGGATAATCAAACTTTAAAAAAAATTAATAAATKAAATGAGTATAAATTAATATTATTTTTTTCTTTTATTATGCAAGTGAAACAAGCTGATGTCAGTTACAGTTTATTGCTTTGTTTATAATAGTTACTATGGTAATAAGGATAAGTACTGAGGAGCGTATTGATTTCATTATACAAATTGAGAAAGTAAAAAAATATAGAAATGTACATATTTCCTTAATGWAAATAGAATACAATAAAATTTAACATTTCATATTTATAAAAATACTGTAATTAAAAAAAAAAAATAAAACATATATTATATTTTATATAAATCAGGCCAATGTAAATAAAATATAATTTCTAAATGTATTACAAAAAATATAATAATTTATTTAAATATATACGCTTATCAGTAAAATTCTTTCTTAAGACATACATGTTATCACAGATTATTAGTTCTGTTAACCAATTTATATATTGGCAACAAACAGAATAAAATTTCAATTGAATGGATTCAATGAATTAAGTACATCAGTATACATGTATAGTGTATACATACATATAAATAATAATACTATCAAGATTTTTTGAAATAAAAATCATAAAATTGTATAGGAGTACACAAAATTTGAAATAAAAAACATCAGGGATTGAGGTCAAAACAGTGATTTAAATTATATGAAATAATGATAAAAACAATAATATAAATGAAAAGTAGTAAAAACAATAATCATAATAATAATAATACTTAACCCTAAATCGAAAAAATGTACTATTAGATTTTATACAAATCTAAAGAAGTTTAACTTTATTTTTGACATTTAGAGATTGACTTGTTGATATGAATTTCTTAATCAAATAAATCAAGACTATATTCAAGGAGATGCTAAAAATAATTTAAGATAAACAACCACACTTCATACAGTAATCAGACCATCAATTCATAAAATACTGTAATTGCAATATTTGTAGGAATATATTATGCCCCACTCCCCTTTAAGTAAATGTTATCAAATATATTTAATTCTTAAATATAAATTACAATTTTGTTATTTACTATACTTATAGATTTAACAATAACTTAGCTTGTTGTATTATTGGACAGAGGAATTTGAGCATGAACTTAATAAAGTTCTAGTTTTAAAAGTAAATAATTGTTTTTTAGTATTCAGATCATAGWTAATTGAGCTAAATCAAATCCGATTTCTGTTCTTTGTTCTTCAAGCACATTGTCAAGAGTTTTTAAAACATTTTCTGGCAAATGATCCAATAGCATACGAGGCATTACTCTAAGTTCTTTAAAATCTTCAGGTGTAGCCCATCGCATTTCATAATTATACTCATTACTGTTTGTGCCAGATTTTCTATAAACAATCAAAATAAACATGTTTATGGTATGTTACATATTTTAAGTATAACAAAGAAATATTTGTGAAAAGTGAAAACAAAATTCCATTTGTTGCATATGACACATACTTATCAGCCTTTTTTTGTTCTTTACTTTTCTTTTTCTTAGTTATGTGTAGTATATGACCAGGAGTATACAAACGAATTTTTGAGTACCTTCTGACTGAAAATTCCTAAGAATAACACATAAAGGTTCTCATATTAATTAAAACTAAATGTTTTAAATAAAATACACATTTCTTATAAATTGAATAGGTGTAAAGGGCATAATTACATTATAAGTAGGTGAAATAGAAATTGGTTGTTCATTAGGATATGATGATGTGGTAGGGACTAGATGATGGTTACTAATAGTATCAGTTGGGAAGCCATCATTCTGTGTAATCATAGATAGAACAGGTGAATGCATAGATAGTAGTGGAGAGTTACGCATTTCTGAAGTAGCCCGATGGCGCCATGTAGATTCAAGGTCCCTCGATGGAACACCAAATAATGCATAGCCAAAGCCATTTAAAAATACCCTGTACTAAAAACAAAATATTATAAAATAACTTTTTAGAAAAATGACATTATTAAGATTTTAAATTGATTTATAGATATCAGATTTATATAAAAGTATAAATCATAAATAGTAGTTTTACATTTTCAATATTTATCTATAAAAACCTATATTTACTCGATGGAATAATGTGAATATGAAATATTAAAAAATAACCTTACTTTTGGTAATCTACATGATTGTAGAACTTGTACCATGTTTGTCCGTAAATCTTCAACATTATCAATTGTCATGTGCATAACCATATCATCACCAACACCAATGGACAAAGTGAACTCTTCAGCTATTCGTGCTGCTTCCCGACTCAATAATCCAGCTAAAATTAATGTTTAAGATTTAATTAGTAATTTTAGTACAATGATTACAGTAACTGAGTTAATTACCTGGTGTAGCAAAAGCATACACTTTGAGATTAGGATAGAGAGGCCGCATATAAAATGCTAAGAGCACTGCAGTACCTGCGCCTAAACTGTGTCCTAAGGATCACATTAAATATATTGAACATTATTCATTTATGATAAGTAAATAATTGCCAAATTTATTTATACAGTAGTCACTCGATAATTCGAAATTCAAGGGACCGAATTAAAAATTTAATTTATAGAGGTTTTCGATTTACCGAGTCGTCAAATAATCGAGGGGAAAAAATTAATTAAAATTAAAAAGATATGAAAAATTGTATGTATGCACATATTACATTTATTTATTATAAATACAAAATATTATATTTTACAATTATTAATTGACATTTATTTATTATATTATWATATTTTGCATATTAAAGAAATCTGTTATATTTTTTTTGTGGTAAATTTCTGGCCACAATCTGGTCTATAACTTACTGATAGCAAAATGTTGATTCGAATTATAGAGGTTTGCGGACTAAAAATTTGAATTATGGAGAGTACACCACCAACAGACATTTTGAATTAATAAAGAGACCGGAAGATATTTTCTTCTAATTATAGAGGTTTTCTCAGGGGACTTTACGGTAAGTTCGATTTATGGAGTTTTTCGAATTATAGAGTGATTACTGTAGTTAAAATCGTAGTGTTTATACCTGTGATTACAAGATTGTATTCTGGAAAATTTGTATAGGCCTTTTCTATAACATTATAATCTTCTAATTCCTTTTTAATATACTTTGCGCTGCATAACATTCCTTTATGAGCCTAAATTAAAATAATACATATGTTTATAAAGCTAGTTTAGTTATTTCTAAGATTTATTAATATTACATAGCTGTCAGGTGGAACACCACAAGCGTCTAATTTTTCTACTATGGCAGTCAAATCCGTAAATATATCTCGCATCGATAATGATCCTCTTATAGCGATTACTATACTACTGGTTTCGTGATCAACAGTTACAAAAAATGGTAGTTCAAATATATGGTTGACAAATGAAGCAAACAAAATATCTTTAGAATGTAATTTTGACATGTATCGAATTGCTGCAAAGTTACACAGACAGCAGTTATCTTCTTTGACCACAGTTGGCTTAGTTCTATGCAAAAAATTAATTATGATTGATTTACTAAAGTTGAAATATAAATGAATAATTTACCTAAAGCAAGCACAACAAAAAAACTTTGGCATCATTTTAAATAATCCTGTTATACAATAACGATAAATCAAGAACGGCCAACCATAAATAGCAACCGATAATTGGAGGTAATGCCTAGCTTTTTTAAGACACATCCAATTTGGTTTTCCAGTAAAACATTCATTTACAACTGAAATACAAACATTAAATCGTTTAAAATTATTTAATTAGTATGAATTTATTTTGACTTACTAGAGGTACAATTGTATCTTTGCTCAGCTAAGAGTGCAAGTCGTCTTTGTTCTCTAGACTCACGCTTTTGTTTTACTCTCAATAATACAAAACCAGCAATAAAGTCTGATGGAACAATATCTGTATTTCTAAACATAGAACTCATTAATCCTAAAAATAAGAAATAAATATAATTTAATAGAATATGTCTTATTTATTGAAATGTGTGATTTAAGGTCTATATTACTGACCAGCTGCTTGCGAAAATGCTTCATGCGAATGTTCATCTCTAATCAACCAACAAAAGAACCATCTGAAGCGTCTCACCCAAATACGGGTGACTTTTCGGTGTAACAACATATCTGCATCTATATTACTGTTGGCTCCTTCTTGAAGTTTTAGCGATCCAACTGGATCTAACACCATGGCTAGTACGAATATCAAACCTCCCAACATGACCCAATTGAATAGTACTCCAACTAAAATAATCAATAAATTGTTTAATCATTAATGCATTAGTTTATTATAATAATTAAAATTAATAACACACAATGAATTATATTTACTTTCCACTACAGTACTCGTAAAGTGTTCATTATCGCATTGTATACAATTTGTATAGGTCCATATAGTCCCTAACACATTTAATGCAATCTCTGGTATGAGTAAAATTATTCTATAAAATAATAAATATATGACATGAAAAAAATCCAAGTTGGTCAGCCGTTCTTAATAACTCATACTTAGCCACTAGTAGATGTGGAACGACACGTCTAGCATTTGTGTCGTATATAGCACCCTGGGCACTTCGATTCACCAAAACCATCACAAGTAGAATGATTAAGGAATGCATTACAACTATCCCAATTAGGTAGATTCTGACCAAAAGCCCGCCAGTCAAACATTTGAATGTCCATTGATAGTAGCGACACAATACACAACTCATCAATGTCAGCCTATAAATCACAAAATCAACTTAATCAGTAAATTATTAACAACTAAGACACAGTTGGTATACATAGCTTATGAATACATTTTCAATCTTATTATAATAATTATATATTCATTAGTAACGTCATAGTAACATTAGCCGTATTAGCCTGCTATACGATATACCTATAATATTAAATAACGGCGTTACTATTGTTTTGTACGTGAGCAGTTTTGATTTGAAGAAGGAAACGTTTCGTGATGTGCGTACCATATATTCGACTTATTATTATTGTCTTTATAACTTCATTACAATGCCGACGTCCGGTAACCACCATTGTGTTGTTAATGCTATCAATAATTCAAGTACCTATTCAAATGTTCATGGCCTCATGGGCTAATCGATTCAGTGGCAATACCGTAATACCGCGAATTATTTAATCGTTCGTTAAATCCTTTAATGGAACCGAAATAGTGTACAACACCTTACAGTCGTTGAACTGTGTTTTCGGAAACGTGTTCAGCGCACCAGTTGATATTTGGTAGTGAAATAGTAGTATAGCCAAGTGCCCTAGTGCCTAAGCCATTGYATCCAGAGCTGCTCTCTACTCTCACCTAGACTCGCACTTATCACCCGATAAATCTCAGATTTATAAACTAAAATATAAGTACCCTCAGTATGCATATTAGCCATCGACATATCAGTCTATCACTTTAATGGAATTATCGATGGCGTCGTCTTTTCCGGTTGAATGGCGATGTCCGCCATCACACATTGCTTTCTCACTATACATACAATTTTAGTATATTATTATAAGGTTTTAATTTTATACTGACAATTTTCCCTTTTTGTATCTATATTATATTATACTATTATTTATAATAACATGCACACGTTTCGCTTTTCCTTTAATAATTTTAACTGAACATTTTCCGGTATTTTTTTTAATACCTGACACTTGCTTTTTATAATTCAAAAAGTATAGGTATAGTTATGTAACGATGTAACGGGAATTATAAGATACCGTTTTACTGATTTATAATATACAGCATAAAACATACAATAAGCGTAAGTGAAGTGAAGCAAAATCTATATTTTATATCAGTATTCACGGTAAAAGCGTCTTTTAGGACGACTACGGAGTGTTTGGTTGTTTTTGGGCATAGTTCTTACAGTTGTAGGAACCTACATTTTTCCATTGAAGGATAAATATTACATTAGATCATCGAATAGTGATGATATAAGTAGCTGTTTCTTTTAGATATGCATATGCAATATCGGAGTTGAGGATTAGGCCTGCAACATAGGTATTATAATTGAGTGTATATAGCTATATCTATCTATATTCTATACTCAATGGTATTATCACTATTATATGATAAAGGAAAGTAAAAATTAGATGGAGTTTTGGATTAAAAAGTTTGAAATCTAGATGGATTTAATTTTCTTAATGACCCCCACCCTATACTTATGTCTTGCAGTTAGTTTTGAAGAATTGAACAGTAAATGTGATGTGTAAGCGATTTCTATAGTTGAATAATTTATCTTCAAATAGTGTATATGATGAGAACTTCCAGCAAGTTGCTTATCAAAATTAATGTTTAGAAAATTGTTTTTGGTAACATTTAGTTTTTACACCATTACATTTAATATTAACTTTGGCTATAACCAAAAGTTTGGTCTCACTAACTTTAAAGCATATTTATAGCATAGGAATTGGATAGTTGGTTTAGTTATAAGTAAAGTTTTCGGCAGGAATAATTTGATCGTTGTAGGATGCAAATAAACTTCACGCTCATATAGGTAGTCTGAAACTATAAAAGTGTTATTAAAAAGCGGGTAAGTAAGTGTATGTCGCTCTGCAGTACAGTAGGTTACAAGTGGGTTACTGTAATGGATGGTATTAAATTTGAATTCAATGATGTAATATCATTACATATGAAAAACGATTTAGAGTGGAGACTGTTTATCAGTATAGGATAATACTATGTTAATTATATTGTTATAATTTAAAAAAAAACAACGCCGTCTGTAATTATTTAATATTATAAAATCGTGAAATCGTACGGTTTTCTCTTTTAATCACTTTTATTTCGAATACCGTTTCGAAAATCGAAAAATGACTTCTCTAAAGTACCAGTTCAAGAACATTACCTTTCAGAAAAGATGCTATACTTGATACTTTTGAGCAAGTTTAGAGGGAGAAAAAGTATTTACAGAATAAAAAAKAAAAATAAAAAACCAATACATTCTTCGCTCCGCTCAGAATCTAAAATTGGTGGATCTGAATGTAAGATAAAAATAAGAGGAACCAAAATTGCTTTTAGAGAACAACAGCTTGTATGAGAGCCGTGTAAGAAATGTATGACCCAACACGTACAACGACAATGAGTAAAATTAAATAATATTTGATAACACAACTACATAAGAATATAATAAGGGTAAGATCCATTTTAATCCCAAGAGATCTTAATGACAGACGCCGTAAAAGCCTTGTGCAATAATATTAGTATTAAGAATCAGTTACTCAGTTACAAAATTACAAAAACCAAATGGGAAATCTTAAAATAAATTATATCTCTTAATAATTGGAGAATTCGTTTTAATTATCTAATTAGATAATATAGGAAGTATCCTCCTATACTGTCGAAACTACACAGACACCAGAATAGCCTTAAGCATACCTGAGCATAGTGAGCATCTATATGAAGCACGTGGACTCGATCATGAAAATACTGTCAAAATCATAAAGTTTCTTAAAATAACCAAATTGTATAACCTTATCTGACATTTGTATTTGTATTTGTATCTGTATCTATTTTGTACTTTGTATTATTTTTTTTGTTTTTTATTTTTATTTTTATTTTTTCTCTTCATCTTTCTCTCACTTCCAATGCTGTACCTCTATATTTTAACGTTATACCTTTATAAATAATCCACATTGTACTTAAATACTCATAATGTTATCTAGCACCTAATTTAATGTTTACATTGTACAATATGCCAATAATCTTAGTTGTTGCGGCTTAAATAATAAAAAAAAAAAATATAGGAAGATAGATTGCATAAGTCGTAACATAATTTCACTGACATGTCTGTTTGTTCAAATAATCTAGAAATTATATAATTATTAAATATACACAGGGTTAAATTGTATGAAAAATGTTTAAACAATTTTAATACATTGAGCAAATAACTTATGGCTATGTGAACCAGTGGCATAAACTGACAAGGTGACGCCAATCCCAACCCTAAACGAATTCTGCGTATGGCATTGCAGTGAAGTTAACCTTTATAATTTAATGAGTAATGAGTGAATAATGACTAATGAATAATACAAGTATTAAAATTTATGAATAAGATAAAATAATACATTATTGTATCACTTAAGTTAAAATTAAGTATGACCAAGGACAATTTAACATGAATAATTAATATATAATATTATTTCAAGTTATAGTTCAACTATAACAATTTATTTTTAAAAATAAGATCGGTGTCAAGAACAATATTTTATTAACAAATCAATCAGAATAATAAAAATATATTCATGTACAAGTATTGGAAATAATACGGAAGCTATTGTGTTTAGTGGCTGAAATAAATTGTGAATAGATTTTAAATTCCATAGTTTCAATCAAAATACAATTAATTAATTTACTATTGTGCCTATTGTAGCTTTATAGGTAGTGACTTATTATCAGTATGAATATACTAAAATTTAAATTAGTTTGAAAAAATTATTTGGTATTTTTAAATACGCAATAATATAATAAAAATTATTATTGGTCATAAACTTGAATAATATATTAAATAATTATTACGAAAAGTGTAGGATACTGGATTTTCAATTATATTCATGTTYATTAATTTGTTTATTTGTTGAATATGAATGAATGAAAAATAGATTTGCTCTCGTAGCTACTTATACTTTATTTTATAAAGCTTTTTTTGAATAAAATTAATTGTAACGTATATATGTGTGCATAGTTAAACAATAAACACACATACCTAACCATGTAACTAACGCATATACCTAATATAATTATTTTAAAATTGTTTCAGTTATGTAATATCAAAAATCTTAAGGTTCATTAAAAAAACAGCGGGAAAGTGGGTATCGCTCTGCTGTACATTAAGTGGTGGGGTGGACCTCTGACTTGGGTAGGTTAGATTTGAATGCAATGATAGGTATCAATGTATACGAAAAACGATTCTGAACGGAGATGATTTGTCAGTCTAGGACTCTAGGATATATTATATTTAAATATTGTCATATATTCTATTTTGAAACAAATATATTATTTTTCAATTAGGACGCATTTTGTATAAGACATGGTTAATCAATTTTTCCAAAAACATTGCATGTAGTTATCATAATTCATAATACCTTATATTATCATAGATATACATATACCTGGTTTGAGGATAAATCGTTATCATTACGCGATTTCATAAAAATTTAAAACTCAAACGCTCAAAACATTTTTCCTATAATGACGCTTCAAATTTTCTCTATAGCTATTTGAAGCAAAACTTATGGAAAACTTAGTGTTGAATTTTATAACATTAGATATAAATACAAACAATATTATGAATTTTGAACTACAAAATAATTTGCAAATATTCATGGTTTTGACGAATTTTTGTCAATATTTGAAATTCTAATTCTAATAAAAATTTAATTTGAATTTCCAGTGGACACTTTTTTTGTGATAAAGATTGACAAATTAGTAAGGAATCTTGTATTAAATTTTTAAAACTTAGATTTAAAAAGGACATTTTTTATGAATTTCTAGCTTAAAACAATTTGCCAATTTTTGTGATTTTTACGTATTTTGTCAAAATTCAAAATTTTAATGGTTATAAAAAAAATTGTGACTGAATTTTTTTTATTTTCCAACTGCTATTGTAACAATATGCTAAGAGCCTTGTATTAAATTTTCAAGATTTTATACCCAAAACATAAATTTTTATTGATATTAATTTTAAAAAAACTAATAATGATCGAAAATTGTATATAMC